AGAAACTCTTTGATGTATTACTCAACAGGTCTTGAGTTTGAGTTCCTCCTTAGTTGCTAATAAGGGTAGCCATTAAAACTCTTACCCGCTCGATAGTTCTAAGGTCCTAGGGAATTAGTTGAGGTTAGTGTAAACTGACACAGACACCTTCAGCTATCAAAATAATAATAATAATAATAATAATAAAATACAAGAATATCTGCATTTCCACAACAAAACAATGTGATTAAAAACATTATTAGGAAATCAATCACTCAATTATCTTATGTTTTAGTTTAGCCCTTGAATGTCTTGTTAAGACATGATCGCAAACTGTAGGCCTAATTCATCTAGCTAATCTCTCACTAGTGAACGGTGAGAGCTAATTCATCTTACTAGTGAACGAGAGAGCTAGTTGGCATACACTTTCCCATAACTTTCTTGCAAAGAGAACATGACAAAAGCAAGATAATTCAAGGAAAACTACCATTAGGTGGCCCTGATGGTAAAAGAGCAAAGGGATTCAACATGAGTTCTTTAGTTCGAGTTAAGGATTTACCCAGTAAGAGATTAGTTGAGGTGCCCATAAGTTGGCCGGACACCCCCGGTCACCAAAATAAATCAATCTTATACAGAAAAATGGCCAGTAAGTTGGCCGGCTACCCTCGATCACCAAAATAAATCAATTTTGCACGGACAAATTGGTTTTTTAACAGAATAGATTACTATAACTTCAATATTTGATTTAAATATAAAACTCTAATTTTAGCTATCAACTCATTGTAATTGAATGATTTGGAAGTTGATAAGATAACAAATACAATAATTAATTTCAATAATTAACATTAAAGATTTAAATCCATTATTTAAGTTAACATATACGTCACGTTTAAGGGCACCATTTATTTATTTATTTTAGACAAATTATGTCAAGCTATTAGATTTGAAAGTTTTAATTCTTTACCAAGTGAATTAAACGTTAAGCGGAATGGGTTACCAAGTGAATTAAATGTTAAGCAGAATGGGATGCTAAGTTGATTTTAGTGTTTAGTCTTCATCATTACAAAACAACTAACCATAAAACAAAATAAAGAACACCAAGGTTTTTACATAGTTTAGCAAAATGCCTACATCCATGAGACCAAGTCCAGATTAAGCCAATCCACTATGGCAAACATTTATAGTTCAATTACAAAGCCAAAGTTAAGCATCAGTTGCAAGATTACTCCCTGTTTTGCAACGCTTCAAACTCCACCCTTTAGTCAAACTTCGAACTACCATAACAAGCTCCACGTTGACGAAAGCACCTGGTCAGCCTGGAGCTCTTCTCAAGGATCAACACCGAAGATGTACTTCAGCTCTAAAAGCTTGAAATCCCATCAAGCATCACCAATGGAAACCCACGTTTCAGCCATGAACAAATAAGCAAAGTTTATCAAATGTATTTGTAAGCCTACCTAAGACATATAAAACCTGATTCAAAACAAAAGAAACCTCAAAGAATTGTCAGAGTAATATCAGAGGAATAATCAAGCTTAAGAAGAATTGCATTTGAGGAGACGAATATATAGAAAACTTGGGCTTCAATGCAAGGGGACAGGTGGCCAAAAATATACTTTATGAAAAAGTTTATTCCATTTCTTAAGACCACTTATCAAAGAGAATAAACTTTCCAGCACATTGTATATCAATTTGACAAGTGTTATGGACCGCATAAATATCTCATAAGCTCATTGAATTTAGGGGTGAGTAGTTTCGGGTACCCTGTATTTTTCGGAGAAATCAGAACCGGAACTAGAACCACATAGTGCAGGTTTCCAAAAAAAAAAGAACTGGAACCAGAACCACACAGTGAAAGTTCTTAAATTCACGGAACTGGAACCAAAAATGTAGGTTCCGGTTCCTTTCCCAGGTACCCTATAAAAAATTAATTACCCCTATTAGTTTAAAAAAATGACAAAAATACCTTAAAAGTTTACAAATACACCCCTAACATTTTAATTACTCATTCATTTGTGTCCAATGTGACTCATAAATCCTCTAATCTCTAGGCAACACTTGAATTCAATCATTTATCACAATTCACATAAAATTCCTCAATCAAAACCAAAACTAAAACAATTAATTAAATTAATTAAACAATCATACTATAAATCTATAATTTAATATTATAATTAATTAAATTTCTAATCATTTAATTAAGTATTGTACTAATGTTTATAATTGAATATTATAATTAATTAAGTAATCATACTATAAATCTATAATGTAATGTTATAATTAACTACATTTTTAATCATTCTATTAAGTAATGTACTAATGTAGTAAATTAATAATATTTATAATATAATGTTATAAATTTATAATTAATTAAGTGATTATAATATAATGTAATGTTATTATCAATTAAGTAATTATTTAATTATAATGTAATGTTTTAATTAATTAATTTTCTAATCATTTAATTAAGTATTGTACTAATGTTTATAATAGAATATATAATTAATTAAGTAATCATTTAATTAAGTAACCAAACTATGAATTTATAATGTAATGCTATGATTAATTAAATTTCTAATTATTTAATTAGGTATTGTGCTAATGTAGTAAATTACTAATGTTTATCATATAATGTTATAATTAATTAAGTAATCATTTCATTATGTAATGTTATAATTAATTATGTGATTATACTATAATGTAACATTATAATGAATTAAGTAATCATACTATAAATTTTTAATATAATATTATAATTAATTAAGTAATCATAATATAAATTTATAATGTAATGTTATAATTAATTAAATTTCTAATCATTTAATTAAGTATTATACTAATGTAGTAAATTACTAATGTTTATAATATAATGTCATAATTAGTTAAGTAATCATTTCATTATATAATGTTATAATTAATTATGTGTTCATACTATAATGTAATGTTATAATGAATTAGGCAATCATACTATAAATCTTTAATGTAATATTATAATTAATTAAATTTTATATTTTTTAATTAAGTATTGTACTAATATTTATAATGGAATGTTATAATCAATTAAGTAATCATTTAATTAAGTAATCATTTGTTTATTATGTAATGTTATAATTGATTAAATTTCTAATTATTTAATTAAGTAATGTACTAAATTACTAATATAATATTATAATTGATTAAGTATTCATTTAACTAGTAATGTATTAATGTTTATCAATTTATTTTATATAATTAATTAATTACTAATTTATTACAGATATACTTAGAACTTGATAATTGAAGTAAATAACTAAATATTATATTATTATTCAATCAAATATATTATTATATTAAAAAATATTTTTTTAATAACATTAAAATACTTTTAATTCGTTTTAATTCTAATTATACACTTAATTAATCAAAACTTTAATATTAATATATTATAATATATTAAAAAATTTTATATGGTGTAGTTTATATATAATAAGTATAATTTATATGTAATAACTATAATTGTATATTTATTTAATTAGGTTATTAAAAAAATTTAACTTTTTCCATTTTAATTTTTTTATATGTAAAATTATAATAGACCCCCTATTCTTCACAGATATTTATTTCAGCCCAGGTTCTAAAACAGGGTATCCGTTGTAGGTTCCAAGCAGATTCCAAGCTGGGTACCTGTTGCAAGTTCTTTTTTCTAGGTTCCGGTTCTGGTTCCTCTGCATGTAGGAACTGGAACCACACAGCATCGGTTCCAAAAAAATGGAATCGGAATCTACCCGCACACTGTCGGTTCTGGTTTCGGTTCTACTCGCTACCTGTGCTCACCCCTAATTGAATTTTAAAAATACAACCGTGTTACCCAAATATCTGCTAGATGCGTTGTGATTACTCTAACTTAGAAGTACTCGCCCAATATAGCGGATAAACAACATAATAGAAGGTGATTACTTTAACACAAGGTCATCATACTAAAAATTTAAACAAGAATGATTATGCAATATTCAAAGTGAAGTGTTCGTATCATGACTTGTGCTATATCACTAGAATCATAAGTTGACAAAATAACTTACCAGATTAATATATTTTGGATAGTGAAATTTAATACAGTTTTTACCATCAATACATTTTGGAAAGAAAAAAAAAAAGCGTAGCTGTAATCTAAACCATTAAAATACATTAATCTATGGTAAAAAAAAAATTGTATCTTAACTTTAAAATATATATATATATATATATATATTATATTTAAGAGAAAACTATAAAATATGTTTAACAGGGTGGTGTCTGCACCAACTTTTAGCATTAATTTTTTAATTAAGTGCATAAGCTTTTAACTTATCCTACGGTAATCCTGAAACCTGGATTAGATCGTATATTTTATATGAAATATNATCTATTTTTTATTCTAATAATTACTAAATTTTGGTAATCACCTAACACCAATAGCGATTATTGTAGGTAATATAGGTGATTATAGATCTGATCGTTTCTGGGTTAGATCTATTGTAAAAAACGGCTAAATCAGTGTACGGTTAATTAGATCCAACCAGTTGTGTGTTTTTCCAACAGCGGATAGTTAACAGTCGTCTTAAGTGATTGAGAGTATTTTGTTAAATTTTAAACTTTTGTGTTGGAGTGTTTTAACTAAATTCTCAAATATAAAGGGTTAAAAATAATACTCTATATAATAATATTATTATTAAAAAAGAAAGCTCGTTAAAATTCGGATAACATTTTATTTCTTTCAACCGAACAAATTATTTATCCTTGTTAATCTAACCAATCATATTAATATAAAATTCTTATTAATAAAAAATTCCTATGATAATCTATCTAAGTAATATCCTTATCTTTCAAATAATAAAAAATTTATGGAATCGAACGCTAGCTTTGGTTTTAGAGCTTAGGGCATGCGTATTCCTGGAAACGAGATGAAAAAATAAAAAGAAAAAGGCGGCAACTTCGGGGGGAAAAAGATGAAAATAAAATAGAAAAAGGCACAGCAATCAATCAAAGACATAGAGATAGTGGAATATGAACTCATTCACTCTCTCATGTAATGTTTTAGTTTAGCCCTCTACGTTTTGTTTATCTGCAGTGCCTCTGATCACTGGAACTTAATGGCTTCCTCTTCTTCTTCTTCTTCTTCTTCCACTACTCCTAAACTAAAGTACGAAGTTTTTCTTAGTTTCCGAGATGAGGAGACCCAGAAAAACTTTAGAAGCCATCTGTATGATGCCTTCAGCCGGGAAAACATTAATACTTTCATTGATGATAAACTTAACAGAGGAGAAGAAATTTCTCTAGCTCTTTTGACTGCAATTGAACAGTCAAAGATCTCGGTTATCATTCTCTCTAAAGGGTACGGTTCTTCGAGCTGGTGTCTCAAAGAACTTGAAAAGATTGTTGAGTGCAAGAAAAAGTATAGTCAGATTCTGATTCCGATCTTTTATCACGTAGATCCATCAGATGTAAGGAAACAAACTGGGGATTTTGGGAAAGCTTTTTCTCAGCTTGAAGAGCGTTTTAAGGTTGATGATCCAGAGATGTTGCAGAGATGGAAGACTGCTTTGACGGACATAGGCAACCTATCTGGCTTTATTTCAGATAACACTGGGTAATTGTTAATTTTAATTTCAGCTGTTTAATTTGGTTTTTTATTTTATTTTATGTTCTAATTTTTTTCTATAATGATAAATATTGAAACTTTAATATTTATTGATATTATTTTTTTTTTTCGAATAAATGATAAAGGAAATAAAGGAAATCATTCTAATACGAGAAAATCTATAAAAGTAGAATATGATTTATTAGGTTGTAAAGAATTTGTCCTATATCAAAACCTTAATTTATTAAGTTTGTATCATATGTGTTTTATTTATTTATAATCTACAATTTGGTGCCCTTGAACATTGTATTTTATTTGTTTTAATAAGAAAATATTCTAGTTCATGTCATGACAGTTCATTATTATGCCAACCTTATATTTTAAAATTTAAGGCAGTAGAGTAGTTTAATACTCTATTCCATAAAATTTTCATATCCTAGGATGGAAAACTAGTTTACTCTATTCTTTGATCAGTTCTAGGAAATAAAATTATGTTATCTTTGTTTCTTTTTCATTTATCTAATTTTATTATTGTTTTATTTATTTATGTTTTACTTTTACTGTTTAGGGACGAGTCAGTACTTGTACAGGATATTGTCAACGATATTTTGGAGAAATTGGATGATGAGTACTTGGTAATTAACAACGAGAGCCCAGTTGGACTAGATTCAAAAATCGAGCAGATTGAATGTTTATTATGTCAGGAAGGTGTTCGTAGACTAGGAATTTGGGGCATTGGGGGTATAGGTAAGACAACTCTCGCTGGTGCTGTATTCAGAAAAATCTCTAAACAGTTTGAAGCTTGTTACTTCATTCAGAATATTAGAGAAGAATCAGAAAAAAGCAGGGGATTAAATGACTTGCGCCAAAGACTTTGTTCGGTAGTTTTAGGGGATAAATATCCCAATATTGGATTCACCTTGGAAAGAAATAGGCTTGGCCGTGTTCTTATTGTGTTTGATGATGTGACAAAATTAGAACAAATGGAATGTTTAATGGAAGACTTTGCCTACTTGGACTCCGAAAGTCGAATAATCATAACGGCAAGGGATGAACGCGTACTAAAACAATGTGGAGTGGATTACATACATGAGATGGAAGGATTAGTTAGTGATGTGGCTTTTCAACTTTTTAACCGTTATGCCTTTGGAGGAAAGAGTCCAACAGAAGATTGTATTGAGCTATCATCAAGGGTAGTGGCATATGCTGCAGGTGTTCCTCTTGCTCTTAAAGTTTTGGGTTACTCTCTATTTGGAAGGACAAAAAAAGATTGGGAAAGTAATCTAGAAAATTTGAAAAGATCTCCTCATATGGATATCCATGAAGTATTAAAAGTAAGTTATGATGGGCTAAACTATGAACAACGGCAAGTATTTTTGGATATTGCATGTTTCTTTAAAGGGTGTGAAAGAGCTCTTATAGAAGAAGTCTTGGATGCCAATGGCTTTGCCTCACATTATTGTATAAATGTTCTCATTGAAAGGTCTCTCATAACTACATCTTTCAACACCATCACAATGCATGCTTTGCTTCAAGAAATGGGTAGAGAAATTGTTCGGCAAGAATCAAGTAATAATCCTGCCAAACGTAGTCGGTTGTGGGATCATAATGATATCTTTTCAGTATTGACCACAAATAAGGTGAGAGCCAAACACACTAATTTTTTATTTTTACTTTATATATGAGGTATAATAAAATATTAGAATGCAGAATATTCCTTCAATTATCCTTGGGAATTAGCTTAACTGGTAAAGTGATTGGGTGGGAATCTGAGATGTCTTATATTTACATATTTTGAAAAGAAAGTTGAAAATAAATGTTTTATATGAGAATTAATTACTTGATAGTTATTATTATTATTATTATTTTTAATTGAAACTCTAGATAAAGGAATTACTTAACAGATTATGTAATTAAGAAATTTCAAACTAATTTATCGTCTATCTACTCTTGATTGTATAGGGGAAAGGAACTATTCGTAGCATAAGCTTGGATATGTCTAAAGCAAAAGAGATACATTTACAACCTAAAGCTTTCAACAAGATGCATAACCTAAGGTTCTTGGAAGCCTACGGCTTCACATGTGGTAACAAGGTATATGGTTTTGAACACCTTGTATTTGATTTCTCTGAGCTAAGGTATCTTAGTTGGTTTAATTATTCTGCTGAATCATTGCCACAATATTTTGATCCTGAGAACCTTGTTGCACTCTACATGACTGATGGCAAACTTAAACGACTTTGGACTAGTGTCAAGGTATTTGTTAATTTTTATATTACCGTTTTATGCTTTAAATTGTAAATATTTGAATGTTATTTCTAAGTTTTCTTTTTAATTTGTTCTTTTGTTACAGAATCTTAATAATTTGAAACATATTGACCTCAGTCACTCCAAGCATCTACTCGAAATGCCAAATCTCTAATTATGTCCAAATCTTAAGAGCTTGATTCTACAAGGTTGTAAAAATTTGCAAGAGGATTTCTCATCTATCCGTTATCTCAATAAGCTTGTCCTCTTGAATCTAAAAGAATGTAAAAGCTTTGAAAGTCTTCCAATCAACCCTGGTTGGAAATATCTTCAAAGACTTATTCTCTCCAAGTGTTCAAATCTCAAAACAGTTCCAAATATCCCCAATACGGTAGAAGAGTTATATTTAGATGGAACTGGAATAAAAGACTTGACGTCAATAAAGCATCTTTCAAACATAGAAATATTGAATCTTGAAAATTGTTCAGAGCTAGAGAGTCTCCCACAGAGCATTGGTGAGTCAGAAAATCTTCGAATAGTTATTCTCTCCAATTGTTCAAAGATCAAAACAGTTCCATCCATCCCTAGAAGTGTAGAAGAATTATATTTAGATGGAACTGCAATTGAAGAATTGCCACCATTAGAGCATCTGTGTAAGCTAGTAATATTGAGTCTTCAAAATTGTTTAAGACTAGAGAGTCTCACAGAGAGCATTTGTGAGGTTAAAACTCTTCAATGTCTTTATCTTTCAGGTTCTTCAAAACTTGACAGATTGCCTAACGGCCTGAAAAATTTAGAAGCACTGGAGGTACTTGAAGTGGAGGGAGTTGGTATAACAGATATATCGTCATTGACTTTAACATGTTTGAACAACCTTAAGAAATTATCTCTCATGAGATGTGGGCTTCAGAAGCCACCAGTAAATCTGGCCTGCAACAAACTGGAGCAGCTAAATCTGGAAAACTGTTGTATCGAATTGTTACCCAAAAATCTTGGCGAATTACACTCACTGACATTTCTACATCTTGGCGGAAACAATTTTGATAGTCTGCCAGACAGTATCAAAGACCTCTCTATGTTGTATGAGCTTGATTTAAGCAATTGCCAAAGGCTGAAATCCATACCGCAACTTCCAGATAACTCACTACGTATACAAGCAAAGGGTTGCACATCACTGGAAGCGGTATCAGGTTTACCAACTCAATGCCTAAGTATGGGGACTGACAACGAGGAAATTAGCTTCATCAATTGTTGCAATCTGAAACTTGATTTAACAGATACTCTGCTGAATATTGAGAGAAATGCAGATCTATGGTTTAGCTCTGAAGTAAGTCTATCTCTCTCTTTTTTTCATACTATATAATATAAAAATTTATTTACTTTTATAAATAAAATGTTATAGAATATTTAAAATTAAGAAGGTTAGAAGTTGATAATTTTCTTGGCACAGGAAAATACAACATCGCTGTCAAGGGTTAACCTGCCAAAGGCTTATAGCCGGCCAAAGGCATATAGCCTACCAAAGGCTTCTTTATGTTACCCTGGAAGCGACATTCCAGATTGGTTTAACTTTAAAAGTCAGAATGGTTATATAGAGCTTCCATCAGATTGGCTCAATGATGACTTAATTGGTTTCGCTTTGTGCGCTGTTGCATCGTTTCTAGACCATGAAGAGGCTGAACCTTTGCAAGTTCGTTGTTTTCTGGTTGTTAACGAGCAGATCGTTTCCTCTGGCTGTTTGTTTAATGATTATGGACATGAGGTTATTGAATCAGATCATGTATTCTTAGGATATGATTATGATATCATGGCCTTGGAATTGCTTACTCTCAGCTCGAATAGCAAGGGCTACATGGAGTTCTTTGTTGAGCCTGGAAGTAATAATTTCAGAAGAAAAACCAAGTTGAAAAATTGTGGAGTCAGATTGTTGTACGCCAAAGATAATTATACGAGAACAGATGGAAGGGTGGAAAGAGACCAGAGATTTCCATATATAAATGGCTGCTTGAGGTGCCATCTCTATTGCTGCGTGGAACATGATGAAATGGACGAAAAAAAACCATATGAAATTTTAGATGGCTGGTCCCCATATTCAGAAATATACAAGCCACCAATACGAAGGGATTAGTAAGTTGGATTAAATCACGAAATTATACGGTTTGGTTTCTAATAATTGATTTCTAGGTGAAGCATAACTAATCTTTTTATTTCCAAAAAAAAAAAAAACAAAGGAGGGTTATACAATGATCTTGCATTATTTATTCACATGTAGAAATAACATACGGCTATGTTATAATTTTTTTTATTGATGTAAATATTCACTGTATTTTACAGTTCAAATTATATTGGGTGCAAAGTGGTTCCACACTATCTGCATCGGAAGCGCATGGACTGGGCTAGATCTGTGTGAAACTTGGAGGTTGAATCTTCTTAAGGAAAAGGTGATCTAACTCCAAACAGATGAGCTTATTATATAAGGTTATTGGAACAATTTGAATGATTCTCTTTTACTTCCCCATGTCCCTCCGGCGGTAAAATGATGGCTGATGCTTGTTCAAGTTCAGCACAGCAGGTTTCTTCTTGCTTTGGTAGGAAACCCTCCACAGGAAAATCAAGGATTTTTACTCCATTTCTGGGCATAAACGGAGTGAATTTTTATTTTAAAACATATATTCATGCCCTATGCTCTGCCGTTCTCCATTCTATTCAAGAATTGTGAAGTTATATATATGCTTTTTTTCTTATGTTATTCATTGTCTTTTCAGACTGGCTTGATCTCGTTTGCACATGCTAATGATTTAGCTGGCAACTTGGTGCATGAACATCTCAATGTTTTCTGGATTTTCTTCCCTGGAATCCAATTATGTTAGCGGACTACTGTGAGTGGACACATGCTGTTTTGATGTTTCTGGTGTTTGGTTTTCTGAACTGTGAAATGATGCTGATTACACTTTAATTATGTTGTAAGCCGACATTATGTGAATGTTCTGTTTTGTTTGAAACACTAGTTTATTGTGAACTTAAAATTTTCCTGATGTTCCTGCCTTCTGAGGCTGCTTTCGTCTTTTACTTTGCATTATCAGATTTGTTTCCAGACAGTTGTTCTTATCAAAATTGGCATTCAATATTATCACAAATATTTTCTGAATGATATTTGATCGATGGTTTTGGTTTTCTGGCAGTGAAATGATGTTGATTACTCTTTTATAATTTTTATAATTTAGCAGTTTGTAAACTACTATCACTGGTTTATTCTGGTTTTCTTCTGATGTTGTGTTTTGTTAATTGGTTTGTTTCTTTTGTATGGCTTTGGGACCAGAACTTATGAACTGCTAAACGAACACATTTCTATCTCTATTAAAACTCAAATAGTCAGGACTTTCAATCAAGATTGCATTCAAGATCATCACAATCATTCTCTGAAAGATGTATATAGATAAGACTGCAGTTTCAGCATTGACAGGTGTCTTCTCCTACGGTCCTACCCGTCGGTTAATAATTCTACCTTCATTATTAGGCCTCTCCCTCTCACATCTCCAATGACTGAAACAACATTTTATCAATGTGAGAACTGTTGGAATTGGGAGCAAATCAAAACACTCTACTGAAGAATATGAACCCGTATATTTTATTCATCAAGTTTATCACTTTTTATACTAGAAAATCACTCCTAATCAAATACGGAAGGAAAAACTAAATTTAGTTGTCTAATTATACTCAACTAAATCTCTAACTGAATAAGAGTTATTCTAAAATAAGAATACTTAAAAACAAGAAAATTAATAAATCTGGAAATCTGCGATCCAGGATGCTCGTTGCAGCTATCGCTCTTTTTCCACATTCAGCAATGCTTCTCAACGCTCACTGTAGCGACCATTTTTGTTGCTATGGCGATCATCATTGTTGCGGCGATGCTTTTTATCGCTGTAGCGACCGGGCGACTTGTCTACTTCAATATTTCGCTACAACTTCCCTCTTCTGCCATAGATAAGTTCGAGCTCTCCAGAATGGGTTTACACTTTAACAAGACAATTGCATAATAAAAATTGCCATTCTGAAGAAGCTTTGCAATTAAAAAACAAGAGGATTGAGGGTGTTCGGAAGAATTAAAATTTATTTATCATCATTATCATTTATTGTTTTCTATAAGTCATATAGGAAAATTAGGGGTGAGCATGGATAACGATTCTACTCGGAACCAGAATCAAAACCTACCCAGAACTGGCCTTCACACGGTAGGTTCTAGTTCCAATTTTTTGAATCGTCACTATGCGGGTCCAGTTCTGGTTCCTTCTAGGAACTAGAATCAGACCTGAAATCTGGAATGGGAACCGAGGTTGGGTACTCGGTATGGAACCTATCTTGGAATTGGGATTGAAAAGGAGTATCTGTAAAGAATGGGGGGTCATTGTAATTTTACATGTAAAAAAAAATAAAATGGGATGAAAATACATGTAGGTGACCTGTGTGGACTGTGGAGGCCACCGATTGGTTGGTGTAGATTATATTAAGAGTAACATTATACTCACAAACACTTCTCATTAACTTTCTCTCACAAACGCTACGTGTCAACTCACAATTCATCAGTTCATATGGATCCCACCTGACCAAGCCAATCACAAACTGTTACATGGGGTTAGTGAGAGGGGTTTGTTAGGTTAGTATTATTGTTATATTGAATAATAAATATTATATATATTAATTATATTTTAAAAGTATATATTATAATATTAAAGTTTTGATTAATTATTTGCTCAATTAAGTGTATAATTGGAATGAGGATCAAATTAGAAATGTTTTAATGTTATTAAAAGAATTATTTTTGATAAAATAAAATATTTGATTGAATAATATTTAGTTATTTACTTCAATTATCAAGTTCTAAGTATATCTATAGTAAATTAGTAATTAATTAATTGTATATGATAAATTGATGAACATTAGTACATTATTTAATTAAATGATTAGATATTTAATTAATTATAACATTATAGTATGGCAACTTATGGTATATTAAGAAAGCTAAGTGATTTGTAATCAAACTTAAATTAATGACATAAAACAAACTTAGAGTCATATTAATTATTTAAATGAAAGATTCATAAATCATATTAATATTATTATTTGATTTGATTTTTTTGTCACAACTAATGTTAATTTAATTTATGGATAAATTCAAAAACTTCATTTTCACTCTAGTAATTATAATAATATATAAATTATTTTAATCTATTCATAAGTATGATTGTGTGAATCGAAGTTCAATGAGTATTAAAGATAAATGATTAGTCGTTAATTTATTAAAATACAAAAATTAGAACTACCTACTAATTGTGTATGAAACTTTTTCCTTTATTTCTCTGTTAAAAAAAAAAAAAAAAAGAAGATATTATAATGTTAAAGTTTTTAGAGCATATGATTAAGAATTAAGAGAATCAAAATAGATCAAATTCATTAATTATTTGACTAATTAAGTGTATAATTGGAATTACGGTCCAACTAAAAATGTTTTAATGTTGTCACAAGAATTATTTTTGAATACAATAGTATTTGTGATTGAATAATATTTACTTCAATTACCAAGTTCTAAACATATCTATAGTAAATTAGTAATTATATATGATAAATTGATGAACATTAGATTAGTACATTACTTAATGAAATGATTAAATATTTAATTAAGTTATGGGCAAATTCAAGAACTTCATTTTCACTCTAGTAATTATAATATTATATAATATTTTTATTTTTGGATAATAAAGTTCACTAAAATTTAATTCCCAAAATTAATTCTACAACTATACTTTGATGTAAAATTTAATAATTTATATACAAAAATATGTCTCAAAGGATCTGTGACCGTGTTTAGACACAAATGAATGAGTAATGAAAAGTGAAAACTACTAAATGCTTGTTTTCTTAAATTTTTAAGGATGTATTTGCAAAATTTTGCAAAATTTCAAGGTTTATTTGTCATTTTTTAAATTAATAGAACATAATTAAAATTTTACAGGTACCCAAGTAAGGAACCAAAACCTACACCGAAACCTACATTTCAGGTTTTAGTTCCAGGAATTGAGTCTTTATAAGAATCGAAACTGAACAGTTTTAGTTCCAAACTTCAGAACAGATCGATTCTGGTTCTGGTTTCTCAAAAAATTGTAGGGTACTCGGAACCACTTACCCTTATAGGAAATCATGTCAATAAAATCATGCGATATGCCAATACAATTGCCCTTCTCTCTATCATCTCCAAATGCCATTATAAGCAGCACAATTTATTTGCTCCTCCAACCTGTCTTCACAACTAGCTCAACTCATTTAATTGCCCCACCAAGAGCGGTTTAGAAGCATGTGCGGACATGAAAGCCCTAAAATGATTGTATTGGATTGAATATACTGTATATATTGTTGATGTATGCACTTTGCTTGATTAAACACAATGTGTTCGTTTTATTGTTTGCACATCGTATTGAACAAAAATGTGGGCACATTTCTTCTTATGTATAAACATTTATCATTCGTTTTTCACCGTACATGTGTCTCAATCTTGTTATATTTGAATTCTTTTCTTCATGAAACTTGCGTGATAAGTTTACGTTACAGGTGTCATTCTTTCCAAGAGTGGTCCAATAAAGGTCGTTAAAAAGTGTATGAGATGTGTACAGTTGAGATTTGTTTGAGCAGGATATATATTGTCATCTTCTTCTTCCTTGCTCTTTAACCTGGATTTGCATATTCTTTGAGCTTTGAAATCTTGCAGAGCATATTCTACAAGTTCATTTTGATGCTGAGTTCATTGATGATCATCTTTGTTATCATTGAGGATTGTGGAACGTGGTTCCTTTTGTTGAAGCTTGAAGGAAGTTCAAGCTTTAGAGCTGAAAGGTGTCTTTCAGCTATCCAAAGTTCAAAGGTGGCTTGAGCTGTCCAAGTGTTTGCTTGGACTTAATCAAATCGTAGCTGGGCATTTGTGCAAATCAAGTGTGGAGTTAAAGTCTTGTAGACAATAAGTGTTCACGTTGATGTATTTAATTTCAGCTTTGTATTGACATTTGGCTTGTTGCTATAGTGGATTTGATTAAGCTGGACTCGGTCCCCTGGCTAAAATGGTTTTTAGCTGAACCATGTAAAAATCCTTGGTGTGCTTCACATTCTGCTTTGTATGTCTAATTATGGTTAATGTTGCTTGATCGTCTTGGCTCAGCTTTAACCAACACAATCAAACCCATTTTGTTGAGAGTCTACAGAACCCATAAACTCTTTCAATATATATAGATTGGATACTATATTATGTTTTGGACAATCCTGGATTGAACAAAATAATTCTATTCAAATTTCATTATAATATAATAATTAATTGAAATAAAATTTAAAATATTTGTTTGGGTAGGTGCCTTAGAGCCAATAAAATTGTAGCATTTGATTACTTGTAAAAGCATGTTGATATTAATAAAAGGCAATTTAAACTATATTATATAAATCGTATTTTGGATATGTTATAATATATGTCCTTAGAATAATAGAATCGTGACAAGGTTATCAAGTGTTTTAAATCTTGATTGTAAAATCCCTATGATCACATTAGATGACCATTCTAAAAATCGTCTATAGCCCTAAGATTATATAAAGTAAGGGCACAGATAATATGACAAGACTATCATAGCATTAAACGACCCTATTGAAAGATAGTAATAGATCTTGCATGTTAAAGTTGTTTGGTGACAACTTGGTGCGATACATGTGTGCTTGCAATTGGCAAGTTTATTGGACATGACCAACCAGAGGATTCCATATTAAATGGTAACCCAATGTCTATAGAATACATCCTCTAACGGATGGTGGTGTATGTAATCCTTAGACTTGAGATCACTAGAGCGTTGTGTGTGAATATCAGTGTAGTTTGACACTAGCCTAACATAGTCCTGTTAAGAGTTATCAGTACAGAAGTGATTGGCTATATTGAGAAGTACACTATGGCTATGGTGGATTGACACATGATTCATCACTCTTGATTACAAGAGAATTATTTGGCTGAGTAATTCGGTAAATGACAACGACCGCAAAACTGTGGCCATAGTACAATTGAGTTGGTGCTCAAGTTCGATTAAGTCGTTAGTTTGAATT